ACAACATTTAGGGCTGAAGAAACACGGTCTATAACTATTCACCATTCTCTGTGTTTAATAAAGGGCAAATTTTTAATTTAAAAAGTTAGGAGGCAAGAGGAGGGAATGATGCAAAGTGTTTTAAGTCAATGACTAGTTTAAGATGGAGGATGGCTTATCTGGGAGGACCACCAGGGCACAGCGGCCCCTAAGAGACAAACAGCCATCCGAGACACCGCACGCTGAGCGGGCAAGGCCTGGCTCGGGGGCCCAGTGCAGGGACTGTGCAGAGAGGGCACACTGGGCCCCTGCCTACATACAGTTTACAAATCCTCACACCAAGTGCTCTGGGGCACTGAAAGGGAAAGAAACAGAAATTAAACTGGGTGGGGGTGGGGGGAGTAGCAGGAAGACAGTTTAGAGAGAAAGACCCCAGACCCACACCGGTTGCCATTGGGATGAGGTGAACTCAAGGCAATGCGCGTTTCAGCACTTAGATGTGCAGGATTTTCTCAGCAACCATCTCCAAGCAGCCTGCCCAGTACACCTTTCTTCCGTGGCATCAGTGGACTGGATCTGAGCCACCAAACTTCTGGCTGGTAACTGAAAGTGCCAAGCAACTACGACACGCAGGGACCTACAAAGAAAAGTGTGGACCCAAAGCCTGAAGAAGTGGGGTCGTTTTGAAGCAGAAATCCGTCTTCCTCTGAGGCCAGCAGACAGCAGCTTATTGCTCTCCTCTGGTGATCAGGGGAGGGCAGGGTGCATTTTGGTGAGAGTCTCATTAGCTACTCTGAACAATGAGACATAAATCAAAGGCACAGATGACATGCCTGATGCCATTTCCACAGAAGGGCGGGCGAGTGAGGAGACGCGTGGGAATTGCCTGGTCAGCAGAGACCAACCGCTGGCCTCAGGGTCGGCACTGTGGAATGGAGGATGTGGTGCACAAGTGTAGCCAAGTGTTCACAGTATTCCTAAATAAAACCCCGCCAATCTAAGTGGCAGAAACGTACTTAGGACACGCTATCAGCAGAGACCAGCCGTGGACCATGCTTGGTAAAGCAAAGGGGCAGCAAAAGAGGCAAACGCCTCAACAAGAAGGGTTGACAGAGTGGCCGCCCCAGTGAGGATGGTGCAGGCGCAGTGATGCCTGTCCGTGCACAGAGGGTCACGAGGAGTGAGAGCCCCAGAGCGCAGCTGAGCAATCACAATATACACATTCAAAGTGCAGTGACAACTGAAGCCAGCTTCATGGAGCCCCGACTCTGGAGATGCACAGAGCTGACCCGCCCCTTCCTGTTCTCGTTTCCTCTAGGCGCTGCCTTCCCTATAGTATCTTACCATCGGCCAGTGGCTTGTGCCTTGTCGATGCAAACGGTGTACGTTTGCTTGAGAGGCTGAGCGTGCAGAAATGTTAAACAAGAGGTCACTTGGATGAATCACTTAGTTCTCAAGATAGGTACCCTAATAAGTACAGAATTAGTTTCTATTCAAAATGTTGATAGTTCTTCTTGCCTTCATTAGTTAAAAAAAAAAAAAAAAGTTTTAAATCACAGCAGAAAGACTCCAGGTCATCAGCGAGTGAAATTTCTAGTAATATACAATTAAGAGGCTTCAAAACAGGGAGTTTAATTTTCTAGCTACTAGTCAGTGGTATATGGTTATGAATTGGAGAGTTAACTACAAGCAGCAGTTCAAAACCACCAGCTGCTCCACAGGAGAAAGATGAGGCTTCCTACTTCCATAAAGACTTAGAGTTGACCCCCCCATAACATGATTCCAATTTCACCTTACAAATCTGGCTAGACCAGAGGATGTACACTGTCACAGATAGGAACTGGAAACACAGGGAATCCAGGGCGGATGATCTCTTCAGGACCAGTGGTGTGAGCGGGAATACTGGGAGGGTAGAGAGAAGGTGAGTTGGAAAGGGGGAACCGATTACAAGGATCTACATATAACCTCCTCCCTGGGGCTGGACAACAGAAAAGTGGGTGAAGGGAAACATCGGACAGTGTAAGTTATGACAAAATAATAATAATTTATAAATTATCAAGGGTTCCTGAGGGAGGAGGGAGTGGGGACAGAGGGGTGGAAAATGAGGAGATGATGCCAGGAGCTTAAGAGGAGAGCAAATGTTTTGAGAATGATTAGGGCAACGAATGTACAAATGTACTTTACACAATTGATGTATGTATGGATTGTGATAAGAGTTGTATATGCCACTAATAAAATGATTGTTTAAAAAAAGTATTTCACAATTTTAAAAAAAGAACAATAACAAATAAGAAAACAGATGCAAAGGACAGCAGACATCATTTGACAAACACTAGTACTCAAGAACTGTTGGCTGCTGATGAAAACCTTGGCTAATTTCTGTTGTGGAAACAAATGATGATATAAAAATTTTATTAGTTAATGTAAAAAAAAAAGCAACATTTTCTACCAGTCTCATCATGTAGATAATAAACTCAATGAATATACTTATAATTTCAACATACTTAAGACTTATCTAATCATAACATACCAGTATACTAAGTTCATTAATTAGATTTGGATATTTTTCATTTGTAAATGGACTGATCAATAAATAACACTTGGAAGAAGAAAAAAAAAGGAGTTGTATGAGCCCCCAATAAAATGACTAGAAAATAAAAGAGTTACAGTTGAAACCCGCAGGGGTAGTTCTACTTTGACCTAGAGCAGTGGTCCTCAACCTTCCTAATACAGTTCTTCATGTGGTGGTGACCCCCAACCATAAAATTATCTTTGTTGCTATTTCATAACTGTCATTTTGCTACTGTTATGAATTGGGCGACTCCTGTGAAAGGGGTAGCAACCCACAGGTTGAGAACCGCTGACCTAGAGAGTCATTTTAAGAGTCTGAATCGAATCGATGGCAGTGAGAAAGATTCAGGTCTACCTCATCTAACATCTACGTGAACCAGCTTATGTACGATTGAAGTTACATGTTCATGGTTCTTCCCCCTTAGGTTAAAAATGGTAACAATGATGGAGGAGAGGATGAGATAGCAAGAAAAAGACCCTTGAGGAAGTTTCCTCCAGTTTTATTGGGATTGTAAATTCTATTCTCATTAAAAGCATCACTCCTTACTATTAAAGTGGACATAACCATCGCAGCTCAGTCTATGAATATTTGAATGAATTTTTCTTCTCTAGATTTGAGGGAAGTTAAGCAAAATTCAAACCAGAGCTCATCCGTGTCTCCCAATAACACAGGCCCACCTAATTAAATAGCGAGTGAAGTAGCACACAGAAAATGCAAACAGCACTCTTCTCAGGAAGGACACTGTAACTGGGAGTTTTTATTCGGAATGGAGAAAGGGAGAGTCCCTGCAACAGCGTAGACAAACCCGGAGGGAGGTGTGTGTGCGTGAGACACGCCGTGCGGTCTGCTGCCGCTGCTGCTCTTAGGTCTGTCGGTGCACTTCTGTGTTTGTCTGCACGTGCGACTCCAGTAACTGTTTCTTGAGCGGTGGTTTGCTCCATCCGAATGTGAGCACTGATGCAGTTCACTGATACACGCCATTTTCCTGGGACCAAAATGGGCATATCCCTTTCTTCTCTCAGATCTTTCTTCTACCCCACCTCCCCCAACCTCCTTGACTCCCTCCTCTCTCTTTGTCCCGATCAGAAAACAAATCCAGCCTTCTTAACTGGGTGTACATTTGACACCACAATAAAAGTTGCTGGCTTCCGTCTGATATTGGTGTACATGATAACATGCAGATGTCACACCTACGAATATTAGGATATGATCCCTGCTCAGCACAATTTAAAAAATAATGAATGCAGCTCCCAATCAGATCCAAACGTGTCTATATCACCCTGTAATATAGATTAGATACCAATAATGAGATAAATGATCTAAAGAATTCAATGTGTACTTTGAAAATCTGTGTCAACAATCTTAAATACATTTATTTTACATAGGCCAGACATGGTATAATTCATTAATTACACTGGTGTGCCAGTACTTAATCGGTGTGTCAGCTGAAGTCTGAAAGTTTTTGGAAGGCCAATTTTCAATAGTGAATGGTGCCAGTTAAGTAGCTTTAATGCTTGAGAATGGTGATGGAACTATTTAAAATAAACATACTTCTGAATCGAGTTGACACAGCTGTAGGAAAAGAACAAGGTCCAAGATGAATCATCTCCAGAATTTGTAGCTGGCTGGTTCTAGGCTTCCCACCATGACACATAAGGTGCCAGGACGCGTGCTCAGTACTGAGGCACCACTGTGCACATGCCTGTTGATCTGGTGAAATGTCACTGGCCCAAGACGGCCCAGTCTGATGGCAGTTGGCATCATTTCATCAGACAGAGGAAAAAGCTTTACAGACCAAAAGGCCAGCTCCAAGGCAATACTCAGGGTGTTTTTACACTCCCGTGCAAAAAACTAACCCCAATCTACAGAGAACATGCTAAAGTCAGTAGTTCGCTTTGTCCCTTTCTCCTTCACTTTGTGGACTAAAGCCAGCCCACTGCCATACGTTGGTTCTGACCTGTGACTATACTATAGGGTAGAGGAGAACTGCTCCCTCGGGATTCTGAGATTGTTCATCTTTATGGGAGAGCAGCTAGCCCCACTCTTCTCCCATCAAGCATCTGGTGGATTTGAACTGCCAACCTTGTAGCTCAATGTTTAACCCACTGAGCCACTGGGATCCTTACTTAAGGAATAGTATGGGGGGTGGGGGTCAGAAAAATGAGATGATGTTGTAGAGTGGAAAAAGGTTCTTGGGAAATCAAATAGAGCAGTGATTCTCAACCTTCCTAATGCCTTTAACACAGTTCCTCATGTTGTGGTGACCTCCAACCATAAAATTATTTTCGTTGCTACTTCATAACTAATTTTGCTGCTGTTATGAATCGGGAGACCCCTGTGAAAGGGTCATTCGACCTCCAACGGGGTCACAGCCCACAAGTAGAGAACCGCAGAAACAGAAGATGAAAAGAACTGCTTGTGAATGGAGCATCTGTTTGAAAGGGCCTACCAGTGATGCCATCGGATTCCTGCTGGAGGTCACAGTACCAGAGCCGGTTTACTGGATCACAGCCCTCCCTGATAGACAGTAGGACATAGCGGCCATCGTCGGATAACTGCGGAGAAAGTAAGGGCAGGGAAGGGCAGATCAGAGTTTCTTCTTTGTGAAAAGTCAGTTTTAATAGTAAGTGAAAATTATAAGCTAGTCTCAAATGCTGTTTCTTAATTTAAAAAAAAGCATGATCTGATATGTTATCATCAAGAAGATGAACATCAATCTTAATTTCTTTAATTAGTTTAAACTCAGAGTTTGTTCTAATGCAGTACAGTGAAATCAAAGTAGAAAACACCAGGAGACATAACTGAACATCATAATGCTTTACATGTGCTTTTTATTAAATTTGACTCTATCCGTTAACTGTGGACACGTGCAGTCTGTTGCTGTGACGACCCCTGACTTAAAGGGCTCTTCATTGGCTACATATTGTCCACGTGCACCTGAGGAGTAAGATTTTGTAAAACGGACCTGGATGCAGGTACGCTCTCTGCGGTTCACACCAATCACTTTAACGAGTCTTTCTGGAACGGCCCTCACATGCACCTCCTGGGTCATCTCCACCACACGCTGCTGAACATGCGGGGCAGGGCTTTGCACTATCACACAGCAGAAGCTCAGATACCGAAACGAATCCTTAAGGACAAAAAGCTAATGCAGCCACGTTGATGTTTAATGTCGGGGTTTGCTGTTTTGTCAAAATTTATATAAATGGCACCAAACTCTATATCTACACACACACACATCTGCTTTTGTAACCAATTTTTTCACTCATTCATGTTTTAAAAAGAAATGTATATTGACATATGTAAATGTACTTCATTTGTTTATCTACAATACAATATTCCAGTTGAGCAATATACCATAATTAATTAATCCAAGTTTCCTACCAATAAGCATTTAGATTGTCTTCATTCCCCACCCCCCCACCGCTATTTTAAACATCCTATGAAACATTCTTACCACATGAACCACAGCAAACTTTCAATGACAGCTATCACAAGTACATCTAATAAATTGACTTCAGTATGTCTGGTTGGACTGAATAGTTGTATCTATTTTTATTTAACTAAGGCAGGAATTCCCACGTATGTTGCTGCCAGGATGGGAGCAATTGTTCCCCCGCTATAATTCTGTTTTGTTCCTCTGCTATAAAGGAGTCCTGGCAGTGGAGTGGTGACAAATGGGATGGTAACCTCAAGTCCAGCAGTTCGAAACCATTAGCTGCTCCTCAGGAGATAGATGAGGCTTTCTCCTCTCAGACAGTTACGGTTTTGGAAACTCACAAGGACAGTAATTGATTTGGTACCAGTGAGTTTGGTGTTAGTTTTATAATTCTTTTCATCATAACCCAGGGATGTTTTACATGCGCTGGGAAAAAAATTGTTTAAACTGGAAAAAGCTATGAAGTAATTTATAAGTCACTGTTTCTCCATAAATATATAATATAACTACCTCCATTAAGTTAATCAATCACAGCGCATATTGAAGCACAGCCTCACATTCGCACTATTTCAAGGCAAGTTGAAAGATGAATTTTGGAAATCACTGGGGAGTAAAGACAAAATACGGTACTGTGAAAGGAAGACAGACTGTTGAAAATGATGACATTGGAATCACAACAGTGACACTTCTAAAAGCAAGATAAAAGGGAAATAGGAAAGTAGGAGAGGTCAAGGTCCACTGTTGTTGGGTGGGGTCAGGTCGGTCTGACTCTCAGTGACCCTATCATGGCGTTGCAGCCCATCAATGCAGCCACTGGATCAATCCCTTTTGGCAAAGGTCTTCCTCTTTTTCAGGGCCTCTGTACATTATCAAGCATGACTTCCTTCTCAGGGACTGGTCTCTCGGACATGGCCAAAGTACGTGAGATGAAGTCTCACCATCCTTGCCTCTGAGGGGCCTTCCGGTTCTACTTCTTCCAGGACAGATTTGTTTGCTCTTTTGGCGGTTCACAGTACTTAAATATTCCTCGCCAGCACCACAATTCGAATGCATCCATTCCTTTTGGTTTTACTTATTCAACGTCCAACTTTCACGTGCATAAGGAAATTGAAAATACCAGGGCTTGGGTCAGGCTCACCTTCATCCTCAAAGTAACATCCTTGGTTCACCACACTTAAAGGGGCCTTGTGCAGCACGTTTACGCAATGCAACGCGTTATTTGAACTCTTGACTGCTGTTTCCATGAGCATTGACTGTGGCCCCAGGCAAGGCAAAATCCTCGCCAACGTCAATCTCTTCTCCATTGGTCATGATGCTAACTGTTGGTTGAGTTGTGAGGATTTTGGTCTTCTTCACACTGAGTTGTAATCCATACTGAAGGCTTCAGTTCTTGATCCTCATCAGCAAGTGCTTCGATTCCGACTCACTCTCAGCAAGAAAGGGTGTGTCATCCACATATCGCAGGCTGTTGATAACCCTTCCACCAATCCTGACCCCCACTCTTCAGATCACCCAGTTTCTCTAAGGATTTGCTCAGAAGACAGACTGAGTAAGTATGGTGAGAGGTTGCAAATCTGATGCACACCTTTAATGATTTCAAACCATGCTGCATTCCCTTGTTCTGTTTGCACAACGGCCTCTTGATCCATATGCAAGTTCTGAATGTGCACAATGTCGTGTTCTCGATTCCCGTTCCCTACCGCTTGTCCTTCCCTTTCCACACTAGGGTGGCTTGTGTGTTGCAGTGTCACAGGTTAGTTCAAATGCCAGCAAGGTGACCCAATGCGAACAGGCTTCAGTGGAGCTTCCAGACGAAGAACAGACTACAGAGAAGGAAGAGGCTGTCCACCTTTGAGAAGACGGCCACTGAAATCCTAGGGACAGAGCCAACAGGGCCCAGGGAGCCTCCACAAAAGACAGTAAGTTCCACTAAATGCTACAGTTTCTAGAAACACACCTTAAAGATGTAAAACAGTACATTATACTGGGTGAAACACTTACATTTGCTGAATGAAATCCTTCACTTGCATTCTTAATTATTCTGATACAATGAAAGCTAAAACTGTCTTAAGAAACGAAAGCATTTTCTTTTAGATACAGATTACTTTGACAGTAATTCTATGAAGCCATTAGTTAAATTAAATTTAGAGTATTGATTCAATATAAATCAGAGGAGAGAAGAGTGATGAGAATTGAAGACACACGGCCCACAATTCGCACACCCTCCCCAGGGGCGAACAACAACAACGTGGACGCAGGGAGACAGCGGGTGGTGTAAGATATGAAAATAATAATAATTCATAATTTATCAAAGGGTCTATGAAGATGGAAGGGCAGGGGAGGGAGGGGGAAAAAAGAGGAGCTGATATCGAGAGCTGAAACAGAAAGAAAATATTTTGAAAATGATGAAGGTGACATAGATACAAATGTGCTTGATACAATTGATGTATGGATTGTTATAAAAGCTATAAGAGCCCCCAATAAAATGATTTATTTATAATGAAATTTAAAAAATTAAACATAACTTGAGTCTCTTAAAATATGCCAGAATTGCCATTTTGAAGCAATGTAAATAGCAGAGTGTAGAATTCCTCAGGAAGTTTTACAAATAGGGAAACACTGCTGTCAGAAGCGCATAAACCAGAGGTCTGGGCCTCTGTACTTTACACTTTCACTCCAGAAGCCACATTAATTCACTAATAAATATCACAGCACCAAGTAAGAGTGAGAAAGCAGTATTTGCTGAGAAGCCATTCAAAGTATAATACAGTATGCTTACTTGTGTTACACAGTATTGTACAGAATCGACTTGTTCAGGTAAATTCACATGTGCTGGATCAACAAGCAAGCAATCCACGCCAGCTGGCACATCCAGGGTAGAACCTCTGCAAGCCGGGGCATCAACCCACAGAGCCGAGAGTGAGGAGCAGCAGGAGGGCACAGCTCGCGGGTTCTCGCCCAATTACAGCGCGCACACAACACTATTCAGACTGGGGTCTTAGACAAACAGTCCAGTTTCTAAAGGTCGTCAGCTCCACCACGAGCCCATTTGATTTGGTCAAGGTGGCTGCGCTCCGTTGTGAGGCTACATAATGACAAGGACGTGGGGCTTTTCAGCTGACCGCTATGGACCTCTTTCTTTGGTCTCGTGTTAAGAAAAAAAATTTTTTAAACATTTTATTAGGGGCTCATACAACTGTTATCCCAATCCATACACACATCAATTGTGTAAAGCGCATTTGTACATCATTTCTCAAAACATTTTCTCTCCATTTAAACCCCCGACATTAGGTCCTCATTTTTCCCCTCCCTCCCCGCTCTCCCCTCCCGCATGAGCCCTTGATGGTTTATAAATGGGTATTTTGTCTTATCTTGCCCTGTCCGACGTCTCCCTTCATCCACTCGTGTTAAGAAAATTAACAGAACTTTATTACAAATTTTTACTCTAAGGTCCCCCCGTGGCACTGTCTGGTAAGCACTAGACTGCAACCCAAAAGGGCTGGGGTCCCGATCACGTGCCATTCTGAGGGCGCAAGGGAGGCTATCTGTGCCTGTAAACCCTTCATAACATTGCTCTGAGGCAAAATTGACGTGATGGCATTGGGTTGGTTAATCACTGGCAATAATTTACCTTTCAGAATAACCAGGCACAGTATAGGAATCTATTGACCTTGAATGGATCGACTTTTCTTGAGCATGTCATCATTTCCAAAAAGAATTCATAATCGATTTTATGCGAGGGCTACTGTTAACACAGAGGTGGTGGTCTGCTAACCCAATCTCCACACTCCCTGCCACCGAGTCCATTCTGACTCCTGGTGGCACAACAACACGGGGTAGAGCTGCCCCTGTGAGTTTCCAAGACTGCAACTCTGTACGGAGTAGGAAGTCTCAGCGTTCTCCTTCAGAGCAGCGAGTGGCCTCGAACTACTGACAGCGCAGTGAGTAGCCCACTAACACCAGCAGGGCTCCACTGTGGGATACAGTACATATACATTCATATTTTTACTTATAACCCAACAAGAAGAGGGATGAGAAACTGTTTTCAAAATGTGAATCTACATATGCTTTTTTGGATCATTTTATTAGGGACTCATACAACTCTTATCACAATCC